TTGCTCTCTTGGATTTGGTGAAATGACTTTTTTTTTTTTTTTGTATCAAGATGATATATGGCTGGGCACTGGTCACTCAAGATTTTAATCCTAGCTACTCAGAAGGCTGAGATTTAAGGTTCATGGTTCAAAACCAGCCCAAGCAGGAAAGTCTGAGAGACCATTACTTCCAATTAAGCACCAGAACAGGAGTGGAGCTGTGTTTCAAAGTGATAGAGCACTTGCCTTGAGTAAAAGAGCTCAAAGACAATACCTAGGCCCTGAGTTCAGACCCCATGGCTCATAAAAATAAAAATAAAACAAGACCAGATGGTTTCTGTCCTTAATTTAAATCTGAATGCTAACCAATCACAGATTCTTAGGAGAAATGTTACTTGGAAATTTTGTGTAATCTTTTGTGTATGCTGCTGGATTTGGTTTGTTGAAATTCTCTGTGAGATTTTGCATTGACATCCATGACAGATCTTGGTCTGTAGTATTCTTGTGAGATCTCTGCCTGGCTTTAGTAGAATAATCCTGGTCTCCAGAATGTATAGAGAAATGCTGCCCTTGACACCTCCCCTTTCTCATATTCTGGAAGAGTCTGAGGAGGATTTGTATTATTCCTTGGTAAAAATGGCTTGATGGAGGCTGGGAATGTGGCTCAGCAGTACAGTGCTTGCCTAGCATGCATGAAGACCTGGTTTTGATTCCTCAATACCACATACACAGAAAAAGCTTGAAGTGGTTCTGTGGCTCAAGTGGTAAAGTGTTAGCCTTGAGCAAAAAAGAAATTTAGGGAGAGTGCCCAAGCCCTGAGTTCTCAAGCCCCAGGGCTGCCAATAAATAAATAAATAAATAAATTCTTAATGGAAATGATGCAATCCATGTTTCTCTGGGTCTGGCTTACATCATGTAATATATTTTGTTCAAGTCTTTCTATATGCTTATGAATGGTATAATATCATTCTTTGGGATACATGAGTAGAATTGAGTGTGTACGTCATATACACATACATATACATACATATATATATATATATATATATATCTCACATTTTCCTCATTTGTCCATTGAGTGGCACCTAGACTGATTCCATATCTTGGCTATGATAAATAATACTGCAATAACCATGGCTGTGGTGGTAGCTTTAATGTGGCCTTGTTTGTAGTGTATTGGAAAAACGCCCAGGAGTGGTGTGGCTGGATCATAGGTTAGATCTATGTTTGATTTTTTTTTTTTTTTTGTCGGTCATGGGGCTTGAAGTCTGGGCTTGGGCGCTATCCCTGTGCTGTTCAGCTCAAGGCGAGCACGCTACCGCTTAAGCCACAGGACCACTTCCGGTTTTCTAGTGGTTTATTGGAGATAAGAGTCTCACGGACTTTTCTGCCGGGTCTGGCTTTGAACTGCGGTCCTCAGATCTCAGCCTTCTGAGTAGCTAGGATTACAGGTGTGAGCCACCATTGCCTAGCCTATGTTTGATTTTTTGAGGACCCTCCATACTCCTTTCAAGAGTGGTAGAACAAGATTCCCTTTAGGCCACATCTAACCCAGCATTTGTTATTGTTAGTTTTTTTGATAGTGGCCATTCTTGCTGGGGTGAGGTGGAAACTCAGTGTTGTTATGATTTACATTTCCTATATGTCCAAAAAAGTTAACATTTCTTCATGGGTCTATTGGCCACTTTTACTTCTTCTGAGAAGGCTCTCTTTGTGTCACTAGCCCACTAGGTAGCTAGAATGTGCCTATAAATCTATAAGTAAACACACTGGATGGTAAGCAATGGGTTACACATGAATTAAATGAAGTGCAATAGACTCTATGGAGAGCATAAATAGTATAATTATTTGAAAAGCCTGATAAGTCAAAGCCCAATATAGTAAGTACTAGGAAATGGGTAGTTGCAAGAGGGAAGGTTGTAAGATTGTGGCCAAGAGGAAAGGGACAGAAGAATGAAAGGGGAAAGGGGAAGAATGCAGATAGTAATTCACTGTATATACCACAGAACTGAGAAATATAAGGGAAGGGGGGGGTGAAGGTGTTGAAGTGATTAAAAGATCAAGATGCATTATATACATAAACTGCTCTGTTAAATGGCAAAAAAATCAACACATAACCTGAAAATTAAGCAAATAAGGGAAGGGGTGGATTGGGAGTGGTGGATGAGAATACTGAAAGCGGTGACATTGATCAAGATGCACTGTATTCATAAAGTGCTTTGTTGAGTGGCAACTCCTTTGTATAACTACTTAAAGAGAATAAGAATACTCAAAAAATGTTGGATGGAATTTACCCTGCATCCAGCTGTACCTAGCACCTTCATTGCAGGAAGAGCTTCATTTCTCTTCCCATTTCTTTTCTTCCAGCTTTTTACCCAGATTTTCCACTTGTGCATTCCATTTTAATCCTCTTGGTCCCAATATCTTCTCATGTGCTGATACCTTTAATTCAATGTCTGGTCTAGATTTTGACATGTTGAAGAGATGGGGACAACACACGATTCTGGATCCTAGTCTATAACTTGGGATGCTGCCCCACTTCAGACGCCAGTGCCCTATAATCTTCAAATACCTTTTACCTGGTTGGGAAGGAACACTTGTAAGGAGCTGGATCTCACAACCTCAGTACATCCACATAGCCATTCTCCATGTTCCTCGTGAAGATCTTAGATAACACTGCAGAAAAGGAACTTCTCAGCAAGACCTCCATGTCCAGTCATGCATCTGTGATCCTTCCCACCCCTCTCCTCTCCTGGCCACCCTGGCCTCACAGGGGATCAATTATGTACTCTCTCACCATTCCATGATCCTCACTATGGTTCAACCATTTTATCCTCTCTAAAGTTTACCCAGAAATTTAATCCCCAATCCCACAGTGTTGGAAGGTGTATAGTAAGGGCTCTGTTCTGGTAAATAACGACACAGGGATTAAACAGCATTTGTGGGAGCACAGAAGGCTTAAAGCCACGTGAGGACACAACACTCATCTACGTTTATCCTTCCATGTTAAGCTGTGAAGACTTAGTAATTAGGCGCTTACTATACACCAGAGGACAGCACTCGATCTTCAGTTGACTTCCCAAGCTCAGAAGTAAGATAAATAGAGTTCTAGTGTTCATCAACTCCTCAGTCTGTAGTGTTTTGTTATAGCAGCCCAACTTGAACTAAGACAGTATCTGATCCTTCTCCCTGATGAAATGCTCCTCAAGTGAAAGTGAGGACTAGCTCCACAAATCCTCTTTATTCCCCAGCACAGCGGTCACTCAGCACAACATGGAAAACGGAGAGGTAAAGCCAGAAAGCTAAAATGTTGGTAACTGTCCCAGCAATTACAACAGGTGGCAAGGCAGGTGTGACTGATGGATTGACTTGGAAGGTCTGCAGAATGCAGTTTGGTGTGTGGGGAATTACACAAGGGATTATGTCGCTGACCAAAACTTTACAACCTCTGTCAAGTCTCTCCAACACGATAACCATTGTGCCCATAATGCCCACTGAGTAAGGATTCCACAACAATGTTTTATTTTGCCGGTATTGATCTTGTACTCGGGGTGTCAAACTCTCCTTAGCTTTTTTGCACAAGGCTCAAGATTGTCTGCAGGGGCTTGAGCCATGTCTGCACTCCATGGCTGTTGTTTTTTCCCCTTTGTAGTCCATTGTCTTTTTATTATTTTTATTTTATTTTTTTTAATTGTATTTTATCGTAAAGATGTAGTCCATTGTTTTGATGCTTAGGCGGAGATGGGATCTTCAGGACTCTTCTACGGTGACAGGCTTGGAAAGTTAATCCTCCAGATCTAAGCCTCATGACTCATGGGATCACAGGCATGAACCACCAGAGCCTAGATTCAACACATCTTAGGAAGACCTCCCTGGTCATTTAAGGTATGTACTGTCCATCGAGGTCACTGGGTCCATACACTTCATCTCAGTCATGACAGCATGACAGAAAGGGACTGGTGAAGGGTACCAGCTACAATGGAAGCCTGTCTTGGTTTGTTTGTCAGTTTTGCCTTTTGCTGGATGTGAGACCCTGGCAAGTTCCCTAACTGGAGCCTGACACTGTTGCCAAAATGATGTGTCTATGCCAGAGGGGAAATGAGCTAAGGTACGTGCACACAGAGAATAATGTTTAACACCTATTAAATAATCAGCCAAGTGCAATGTCATGATGCCTTCTCTTAAAGACAGCCAGACTCACCATACATATACACCCAGGTACACATACATGTACACATACACGCATACCTACACACATTCATATGCAATACATTCTCCCCAGACGTTGGAAGATAGTCCTGGCAAGGCTGGTTTAACTTTTCATCCCTGATGAGATTCCAAGTCCAGAATGTGAGTAACTCACCTGTTTTTTAGCCAGTTCCCTTGGAAGGAGACAAGAAGGTGATTGCAGCAGTGCAGCTCTGGTGCTTCCTTAAAAGAACTGACACAGAGAAGAATTTGTTTTCAGCCCAGAAGAACGGCACAGCCCCTGGCTGGGAACATATCATGGGTTTCTATAGAGGGAAAAAATGCAGATTTTTATCAGTCAGGCCTCCTTAATTATAAAGACTGGTGTCTACTTCCCAAATTGACTTTGAAATAACTCAATGATGCTCTGGTTCCCAGGAAGCAAGCATACGATTGCTATTCATGTTCACCAACCAGTGCACCAGGCCACCAGGAATGGCCTTTGGATACCTCAGCCAGGAAATTAGTGCCAAGCCTCAGGGCTCTTATGGGGGCAAGTAGACTCGGCTTCCAGTCTCCTGTGTGCAGGAGTATACCCTCACAACCTCGATGGCTGCCTGCTCTGAGGGCTGGTCCTTGCCAGTGCCTCCGATGGTGACTAGAGTAGGTTCTCTTCCTGTTCCCCACACACTCTACTCCCATCTACCCTGAGTCTCCCACTACTGAGTGCCTGTTGCCTGCTCCACTTCACTGGTCAGGGATTTCAAGGTAGTCTCTCAGATCCCACAAGAAACAAACCACTATCGATTCACAAACCCCAATTCTAAAGTTAATTTCCTTTCATGTGCACGTTTATTTGGTATTGGTGATGTTATGAAAAAGTCCTGCGTGGGAGAACACGCAATTGCTAAGGAGCAGAGAAACATTTACTCACAGTTAGTTTATCATAGTCATAATACTTTACACAGACAGTACAATGGTGACCCACTAGAGTCCAAATCGACATCCCTTTCCCACACTTGTGTTCCAAAGCAGATTCTTGAACCCGGATCTCAGTGTCACATCCTGCCACTTCAAACTGACAGAAAGCTGCTCCTGGCTGACAGTCAATAAAATGGCACAAAAGCACATGGACATCGACAAGGCAGTCATACCACAGAGACAGCTTACATCTTACTGGCACAAGGTAGAGAGCAAAGATGGAGAGCCAGGTGGAGAAAGTGACCACATGTGATGAGTTGAGGACCACCGATATGCTGTTTCCCATGTCCCAGAATGCCTCACGACTGTCCTACAACAGCTGGCAGGAGAGATGACAGACTTCCCGGGAGCGAACGAACTGTCATGCCAAGAGGATTCTGGTCAGCACAGGGTTAGGGAGTCCTAAGAAGAATGCTCACTGTGCCCAAGAGGGACACGAGTCCAGAAGCTGACCACACAGCACGTCTGCCTCCCTTCAGTCTCTGTCCCATGAGGATCACCATCTCAGTTGTCTTTCAGCCACTGCTTGAGCAGCCTCTGGAACATCTTCTTGTTTTCCTGCTGCCTCTCCCGTGGGCACCTCTCTTCAGGTGGCTGCTGCTGCTGCTGCGCCCCCTCTGGCAGAAGGCTAGGCTGGTTGGTGCCCATGCTGAGGGTCAAGCCACTGAGGCCCTGTACCAGCGACTCCCAAGAGGAAGAACTGGCGGTGGCATTTCCTTCCCCTGAAATCCCCGTGGATGGCCCGTGGCCCTGGCAGTATCGACATTCACATCGGATCCGATTCTGAGCTCTGTCATCTGGAGAAGATCCGGTGTTCCTTTCCACTGCGTAAGGAGCCATATGGTCGCGGTGCCTGCGTCTCACGTGGCCCGGGGACGCCTTCTTCTTCTGAGATAACCCCAGCCTCTCCCAGCGCCTTTGCCTCAGCAGACTCTTCTCCTCCCTGTAATGCTGCTGAACCAGCCCCTCGGGCAGAGGCGCAGAGGCACTGGGACCTGCACCTGGGCTCAGCTCGCTGAAGCTCATCCTGAGCTGCTGGGAGGAACAAGGCTCAGAGACCATCATGACCTCTTGGGAGGCCGCAGTAATGGTCAGCCGGGGAGACCCGGAATTCAATGCCGCATTCCATTTCTCCAGTGGATCCATGGGGTCTGGTCTGAGCTGGAAGCCCTACTGGGGTGTGGTGTAGATGGGATGGTCAACAGGGAGGACTTGCAGTAAGCAGAAGGAAGCTAGAGACCATGGGCTGCCAGCAGAGGCCACACTGTAACAAAGGGGAACAGGACAAGGAGGAGAGTCCATGGTTATGCATTTTACTTTACAATCCTGTCCCTCCTCTTCCTAGGTGTCAAAACCACCTCCTAGGCTTCTTCTGTGGATTCCATGTGCTAATGTACATCCAGAGCTTAGGAAGTCAGCTGAATGACATACTGGTTTTAGAAATGGCACTACTTATTCCATCGATGGAGCATGCGTACAATATGGAAATCTACTAACAGTATTTGTTGACCGCTGACTCTTTATAGGCCATTCTGGAGAATGATTATAAGAACAAGCTATATTTGACTAACATGTGCTCCTCTCCTAAATATTCCTAAACTTGCATACAGTAAACGTTATGAAATTGTAAGTATGTTTACCAAGGGTGACAAACCTCTGGGGACTCTTGTGTTCATGATCACTGGCTTTACATCTAATGAAAAGTGTAAACTTTGTCCAAGAACATAAATGTTCTCATTACCTCACTTATGAAACAATGCCTTAGTAATATAAATAAAATTACTTTTTTTAAAAAAAAGCTTGCTTCGCATCATCTTATATGGTCATTTGTACAGTTTTTGAGCTTTTCTGTTCATCTGATAAGACCTATATGAATTATTGCACATAAGGGAAACCATGGGACCTACGTTTCTTTGGGCCTGGCTTACTTCACTTAGTACAATTTTTTCCAAATCTTTCCATTTCCTAACAAATTCCATTTCTGATGGAGGCATAGAATTCCATTGTGTATATATACTACATTTTCTTGATCCATTCATCTACTGAGGGGCATCTGGGTTGGTTCCGTATCTTGGCTATTGTGAAAAATGCTGCAATGAACATAGTTGTGCTTGTAGCTTTAGTATGGTCTTGTTTGTGATCATTTTGGTAAATTCCCAGAAGTGGGATTGCTGGCTCATAGGCGAGCTCTATGTATAGTCTTTTGACGAATCTTCATACTGCTTTCCAGAGTGAACAAGTTTACACTCCCACCAACAGTGCAGTAGTGTTCCCTTTTGGCCACATCCCCTCCATAGTTTTTCTTTGTTGTTGTTTTTAATGTACTTGGTAATTTTTTTGTTTTTTTTTTCCCTATGACATCCCCTGTTGTCACTGTATTTGATTTTGGTACCCTGCATCGTGTATATACATTTATCTAATTTGGGTATTGTAAGGGGAATAACAAAATGTTGAAACAAGGACACAGGATGACCCATTACAACAATGATTCTCACAAGGCACTATGTTGAAAATGAACTTCACAACTTCTTCGGGGGAGAGAAGAGATAGGGGACGGAAGGGAGAAAAACAAAGGGGGGGTAACAAGGTTCAACAAGAAATGTACTTATTTCTTTACTCTTGTAACTATAACCCATCTGTACAGCATCTTTACAATAAAATAAAAGTTTGCTCATGCTTATGGAAATTACCACAAGATTCCCACTATGTGCAAATAAAATTTTCATGTACTAAAAAATTCAGCAAAATTCTGTAGTTCCACAGCATGGTTGGGACTCAACTAAACAAAACACTGGTTCTTTGAAATGATTAATATGTTTAATAAACCTGATCAGGGGCAGGTAATAGTGGAGGAAATGGGAAAGAAAAAAATCACATTACCACTTTCAAGCATGAAAGAAGAGAATTTACCACTGATACAAAAAGCATGTTTCTCCACAATCAGCTCTACATAAATAAATTCAAAACCTTGGTGTGTTGTCTCCATTACTGGAAAATCATGATCTATCAATATTCACCCAAGATGAAACAGTGTGTTCAGTGTTACATCATTTACAGTAATTGAGCTATTAATAATAAATCTTTCTCCAAATTCTCCAGACCTCTAAAAACTAACATCCTGATTTCTGCTTCTGTGAGTTTTACTGTATTGCATACCTGCAAATTGGAATAAGGAGCAATAAGAACTTAAAAAACCTGGCTCATTTCACTTGCCATAATTACTCAAGTTTCATCAAATTTATAAAGAGATTAAGGGTAAGTAATAACCCATCTGTTTGTATATATGAACTTATGGATATAAATTTTACCCACTAACCCATTAAAGCACATTTAGTGTATATACACCTCTTGGCTGTTGTGAATAATGATACCATAAAGTGAGAATATGAGTATAAAAGAATATTTCGGCTTGCCTAGTGAGTTTCACTGCTGAATTCTACCAGATTTAAAATGAAGAAATTATACCCTTTCTACACAATACCTTCCAGAATACAGAGCAGAGGGAACATTTCCAAATGTGTTCATAAGTGTAGCACTGAACTGGTACCATGAAAACAGAAAACAGACAGGTTTTCTGTCTTGGCATAAGAAGTAAGATAAACGTTCTTCAAGAACAGCCACAGTTCCAGGCCAGCAATGTATGAAAACAAACAAACCATGATAAAGTGGGTTTTCTGCCAGGAATGCCAAAGTGTTTCTCTCACTAAGGTGCAAATCCTGTCAATGTATTTCACAGTGGTGCAGTCAGGAAAAAGAAGAACAAAGATAACATCAGATCAAGATATATATATTTATATATATAAATATATAATTACTTGATATGAATTTAAATCCACTGATGACATTAGAAAGACTAACATACAACAAATAGAAGTTTACTTCCTGAACCAGTCAAAGGGCACATTCAACCTAGAACTGATGTCCTACTTAATTGCCTCAAATGGACTGGATTCTCCATTAGGCAAGGGCAGCTTCTCTTTTTTTTTTGGGGTCCGGTCGTGGGGCCTGAACTCTGGGCCTGGGCGCTGTCCCTCAGCTCTTCAGCTCAAGGCTAGCGCTCTACCACTTGAGCCATAGCGCCACTTCCGGCTTTTTTCTTATGTGGTGCTGAGGAATTGAACCCAGGGCCTCAGGCATGCAAGGCAAGCGCTCTACCACTGAGCCACCTTCCCAGCCCAAGGGCAGCTTCTCTTACTGTGACTATTCAACTTCATGCTGGACATCTTAGATGGTACAGCAATGCAAGGAAAGTAAATAACATGTCAATGAGAAAGGAAGAAACAGAACTACCCTTCCTTATAGATTTCTATGACCATCCATATGAAGTACTCATTGTGTTTCCATCCAAATTCCTGGAACTAATAATTGAGGAGACAAGATCAAGCCATATGTGCAGGGTGGTACTCCCCAGCACTTAGGAGGCTGAATCAGGAGGATTCTGGTTTAAGACCAGCCCTGGGCTACATTGTGAGTTCCAAACTAACCGTAGTAAGAGCTTGTCTCAAACCCCAAAAAGCAAACAAAGAAAATAACAACCCAAAGATTGTCAACCCATGGTAAAAAGCCATATGAATGCTAAAAATCTAACTTAAAAACAATACTTTTTATGATAGCTACAAACAGAAAAGTATGCTAATGAAAGAGATTTAAAATCATAATTATAAATGGAGAGAACCAACATGTTTATGGATTAGAACATGTACAAAGGGAAAATTTTTAATTACCTATACTTGAATTAATCCAAACCAATCAAAACCCTAGAAAGCAATATGTTCATATAAATAAGCTGAATTTGCAATTAATGTGGAACTTCAATGTGGAACTTTTTTTCTGGTTCTGAGGCTTAAACTCAAGGCCTGGGCAATATTCCTGAGTTTTTGTGCTCAAGGCTAGCACTCTAACACTTGAGGCCACAGCTCCACTTCCAGCTTTTTGGGTAGTTAATTGGAGATAAGAATCTTGCAGGCTTTCCTGCCTGGGCTGGCTTCGAACTACTGTCCTCAGATCTCAGTCTCCTAAACAGCTAGGATTACAGATATTGCACTGGTACTCTTCTGGAACTTCAAATTTCAAAAGTAATTAATTTGAACAAATCATATCATTTACTTGTTTTGTTTGCTGATACAGGGCTTAAACTCAGGACCTGGGAGCTGTCTGTTCGTTTTTTTTGTGTTTTTGTGGGGTTTTTGCTCAAAGGTAGCATCTTGTGGGTAGTTAACTAAAAATAACGGCCTCATAGTCTTTTCTGCCCCAACTGGCTTTGAACCAAGATCCTCCTCAGATCTCAGCCTCTTGAGTAGCTAGGATTACAGGCATGAGTCATCAGTACCTGTTTCAATAGGGATACAGGTGGACCCATTGCAACAATGAGATGTACAAGATGTTATGTTGAAAAATGAACTATACAACTTTGGCGAGGCGGGGGGGGGGGGCAGGGATGGTAAGGGGAAACAAAGGAGGAGGCAACAATGCTTGATAAGAAATGTACTCATTACCTTGCTCATGTAATTGTAACTCCTCTGTATGGTATTTTCACAATTTAAAAACTTATTAATAGAAAAAAAAATAAAACCTAAAGATTAAAAAAAGAATATTGTTCTGGAAAGGAACAGACACACTTCAAAGAAAGAAAACATATTCCATAAACACATCCATACAAATATAAACAAATGAGCACAAGGGAATTTGAGAGAACAATTTTCTTACAACTAGTCTTGTATATCTATATAAAAATATGAATCTCACTGGGCGCTGGTGGCTCACGCTTGTACGCCTAGCTAATCAGGAGGCTGAAATCTGAGGATTGCAGTTCATAAGCCAGCCTAGGCAGGAAAAGTCCATGAGTCTCCTATCTCCAATTAACCACCAGAAAACCAGAAGTGGCGCAGTGGCTCAAGTGGTAGAGTGCTAGCGTTCAAGCCCCATCTCACACACACACACACACACACACACACACACACACACACACACACACACGTATAATTTATATATGCAATAACCAAAAATGGTCTAGAAGTAACCATCAAATGTTTAATAATAGGGCTTTCTTTTTTGGTCATGGGGCCTGAACTCTGGGCCTGGGCACTGTCCCTCAAGTCTAACACTGTACCATTTGAGCTACAGCGCCACTTCGGACTTTTTCTGTTTATGTGGTGCTAAGGAATTGAACCCAGGGCCTCATGCATGAGAGGCAAGCACTCTACCACTGAGCCATCTTCCCAGGCCCAATAATAGGGCTTTCAAAAGATCCAATACATTGGTACT